GTACTGGGAAGTCAAGAAACAACACATGAAAGCTGTGGCTCCCAAAGGTGGTTGGAGGATCTTGTCAGCATGAAGTGCTTGATGTTAAGGAAAGGAACAGGCTCCCAAAAAACAGCAAGAATCCCCCGACCCAATGGCTCTCCTCTGCCATCCAATGAATTAAAAATAATACCAATATTTTAACTATTTGTGCCTTCAAAATATAAATCTATATTCATATATACGTACACCCACGCACTATGTGTATGTGTATTTTATGAAACCTTGCTCTGATATTATTTGCCAAAGGTGAGCTCTCCATCTTGTGGTCTGTACATCTTATTGACATTTGGCAGTTTGTGCTCTTTGCCTTTTATAGTGGTTCCAACAATTCCAGAAACACATAAAGAACATCAGTGATGAGCATCTTCTGTGAACCCAGTGGTGCTGGCTCTGGGCACACGGAGGGATGTGTTATATTCCATTCCATACTCACACATGTTTGCTATCCCTGAGAATCATGTGTGTGTCTCTGCCAAGAAACATTACTCTTCTCATTAAAAAAAAAAATTCAAATAACACATGTAGAAATAATGTAAGGGAAGTGCATATTTCCATGCTTGTACGTAATTCGTAGTCAATCAGTGGCCACTTGTAGGAACACTCAATACCCCAGACCTCCTGGGTAGCGCTGTAAAGCCCAGAGTGTCCTTGGGAACAAAACTGCAAGAGAATTCTGGGCAAGATTCAAATTTCGGGGGGGGAGTGTCCAACAGCCTGCCCCTGGGCTCTGTGCCAGCCGCTGGGAGATGAGGGGCAAAGTGAGATTTCTGCTTACTGACTTCCTCGTATGCATCCAGTGGGCATCTTTAATCCCAGGTAAATTCCACGAGGGAGGGGCCATCGCTTTTTTATTCACCGCTGACCCTGCGCTTAGCACCGTTCCTAGTACACGGTAGGCACCTATGAAATATTTGTTGAAAAAAATGACCAAATTGGGAGGCTCTAGACAGAGGCCGAAGGGAAATGACTAAGTTCCTTGCTTGAGTGGCCATCATTAGTGTATAATTTCCCAAAGCAGCCCTAGAACGGGCAAGACGTTTAATCTCAGTTATGAAATGTAACCTTTGGAGGGAAGACAGGCAACCACAGTGTGACTTCTCAGCTTTGAGCACGGCCCGGGCTGCTCTCTGATGTGGCTGAGGAGAGCCAACAAGCAAAGGCATTTTGTATGTTAAAGTGAACCATGTTTAGTCAATGATGTTGGCGATGATTAATGAGTCCAGGGTGAGAGGAAACCAAAAAGCAGTGGCCTCTGCTGCTACCCAAATTTCGACACAGAGAATCTTCTCTCAGAATACCGGTTGCAGAAGTTCAATATTTGGCATTTTCAACCAACAGCAAGCAACAGCTGTTTTCTTTAGGGCTCTCGTGGCACATTCCGGAAGGGCAGAAAGCTCCAATATATGTTGTCTGAGCAATTTGGGGAGGGTTGGCGGATAGAGATATTTTTTATTTTATATTCTAACTATGTAACACACTTATATTATACTTACCTAACAAATTTCCAGATACCACTTTATTTTGGTTTGGGGGGGAGAACTCGTTCACAGTTAGATGTTGAATGAGGCTCATAACATAACATAACTTACTCAGTGGTTATTTATTGTGGTTACACTAGGTGCCAGGTTTGGTGACCCTTTGGGTTTCTCTGTGTGTAAGTTGTACTGTTTTGTTTAGATGTAACAGATATCTCTGTCCATCTCTTTGCTTGCCCAATTTTTTATTATCCTCCAGACTTTCCCTTCTACATCACCTTCCGTAGAGCATCTCCCTCTGGTACCCAGGGCATCCAGGCACCTCTGCTGTGTGCCTTAGAGCAGCTGCACTTTCCCCCAGGATTTCTCAATCTGTCTGCTGCTAATCTATTCTGCCTCTCCCACTGGATGGGAAGCTATTCCAGAGTCTGAGCTGTGATTTTAACTAACACAGCCCCATTATCTAACTCAGTGTCTGAAATGCGGTGAGATCTTATTAGGTTGAATGAGGAAGGCACTAAAAAATCCGAAATTATTTCTGGAGTACATTCTGCAAAGGTAAAATGCTAGGTTTTTGGAGAACCATCGAGCATGAGTAGGTAGTTGCGTGTCCGAAAGGAGCTTACAGTTAACTCATCCGTTCTCGTTTTTTGACAAGTGCTTTCTAAATGCCTACTGCGTTCCAGGTCACTATTTGGAGGCAAAGATGGGTATTAAATAGTAGGTTCAAATAAGACAAAGAGAACTGAAGACCGGCATCATGGGGGAAGCCCTTACAGAGACGAGTGCAATATTCAAACCTATTTTGTTTTGACATCAGGCCCTTCTTTTTCTCTTCCTTTCCCTTTTTCTCACTTTCACTCATTCATCCATCTGGGATTGATTCAATATCTGCTGTATCAGACACTCCGAATACAAAAATAAATGTCACACCCCTGCCTGGAAGATACGCACATTTAAACATTTTCTAAGATGAGCCCTGCTTTTGAGCCAGACATTTTAGTACAATGAATATTATCGGTATTAAAACACATCTTTATGACTGACTTCAGATAATGAACTAAAGGGTGTAAATGACAGCAAAAATGTGTATGGCTATTTTTTATTGTTGTTGATGGAAAATGCCAATATGTGAAGTCTTTTATTTTTTTTATTTTTTTAACTTTTTTTATTGATTGCGAAACCTTTTATATGGAGTTGATAGGCTTCTATTACATAACTAATATCAAAGGACGCATACTCCTCCCCCCCCATTGTGGGTCTCCGTGTTAATGCTAGATCATTCTAACTTGTATACATGCTCTGGCTTTACTGGATTTATAATGGCAAAATATGTAAATAAAATAAAACTCTATTTCTACATATGAGTAAAAGGTAAATAGATTTTTAAAAAGTAAATGAAAATAAAGGTCAACTTTGTGGAACAAAAGTATCTTCATTCATAGAGTTTTTCCTTTTTCTTTTTTTTTCCTCAAACTATGCTTCTTTGCTAAGCCTGGGGAGTTATTTGGCTGTCTGTCCTGTCTGTCAGGCCAGACAAGTGGTGAGGCCATTGGAAATGTGTTCGTGTTTCTGGTAATTTGGATAGTTTCGTAATCAGTTTGACTGTGAAGCCTTCATTCACAGTCAGAGGGAAAACCTAGCTGTCTTAATACACCCAGACATTAGGAGGAGTCTGTTTTATAATAGTTGTCAGAGGCTTTTCCATGACCAAAAGAATGTAACTATGCTAAAAATGCTATGACTCTGATAAGCAATCCCTTGCCTGGATTCCTGACAACATTATGTAAAACTAAAACTGATTCTCTCTTCTCAAAACGAACCCCTCTCAGTATCCGAATGACTTATCTGATACTTGTCCTGCATACATGGCCTTCGGAGTTAGTTATATTTTCATTGTTCCCATCCGAGTTCCTTGACTAGATTATAAACTCACTCACTGAGGACAACAAAGATAACATTTAATTACTGAAAGCCTCTTGGCGGTAGGCGGTATTATTCTAAGCACTTTACATGTGTTGATGCATTTCAGCTTTACAACAACCTTGAGGCAGATTGTTTTGTAATCGTCTCCACCGTAGATGGGGAACCGAGTCGCAGAGGAGTTCAGCAGCTCGCCCCAGGTCCCCGCCCCTGGGACGTGTCAGAGCTAGGGTCCATGCCCGCGCTGTCTGACACCAGCTCCTGCGTCCTTAGCCTCTCCATTGTGTGACCTCTCCAGCTGTCTCATGCTTTACTGCATGTGATGGCTCATACATAGAAGGGGGGCCAGAAACCAAAATGATTGATTCATCAAATAGTTTTCCAAATGTTTTCATAATTTTATCAAGTTTGATATATCCTTCTGGATAAAGGATATAAGTCAGGTCTTACCTTAATATCCTGGGGAGTTTGAATAAGGAGCAGGGATTATTTCAGGTACAGCACAAGAATTTTCTGCAGAAACCCCTCCTCAGATCACCATGGAAAATGCATGGCGGCTACGTGTTCATCAGGTTCAGCTGGGGACACATGGCTGACTCCCAGATTTGAGATTCATCTCGTTACTTTTCCTCCTCAAAATGTTATCTCATTTTTTTCTGAGGTGACATCGTAGATCTAACTTGGGAGCTCTTTCTTTTCATCTGTTTAATAAATAGTAATTCTTTGGCCCATTGTAATAGAGCCTGTAAGGCATCACCACCCTAATGTAAATATTGCTTTTATGCTGAATTTTCTGTGCCACTCATCTTTCTTACACACCTCTCATGTTCCCCGTCCTAAGAGATGTTTTAGGGCATGTCTTCCACCAAAGATGACTGATCCCCTCTTTCTGTACTTACCTTTAATCAAGCGATGACATTTTAAGTAGTTAAAAGTTTTGACTTTGTCTTTGCTTTCTGTAACGATAATCCTCTCTTAATATAGAAAACCGATACTCTAAGTTGTAAATGCTTCGATGAAAAAAATAATCTTTACGAATCCCTTATACAAAAGGAAAACCTGTACATGGAGATCTATCATAGATCCAGAATAAAATTAACAAATAATTTTGCTTGTGATTACTTCCTGTGGATCATCCTGTTAATCTGCCAACACCACAGCACACTGTTAATTCCTTGAGGACAGTACCAGTCTAGTTAAAAGTTAAAAGTGTGCCAATACACACACACGCACACACACACACACACACTCATATGCTTATCTGAGTCATGTATCTTCCATCCATCTATTTCACTACATAGATAAAGGTTGATAAAAATGTGCTTATGAAAAGATAAAAACTGGGCTTTCCACGATACACTTGAAGTGTAGTAGGGTGTGCTAAAACACTTTAAAAGAGTTATGCTGGTGTGCTTAAGTAATATTCAATGGGACAGGAAAAATCAAACAGAATCTTAAGCCATACTTAGGATTTCAATGAGGAAAAAAAAATGGGGAAAGCATTTTATATCAGAGATGCCATAATGAGGATGTGGGAAAATGGAAAAAAAAAAAAAAGAAAGGAAGCTCAGAGGAGAGAGTGACTTTAACGCCGATGGGAAATACAATCAGAAAGGCCAGGGAAATGCGATGTCAGAGCTAGAAGCGGGAGAGGAGAGAGTGGAGAACTGGAGAGGACATCCCTTGTATTAAGTGGTCTTGCTCCTCAAATCTTCTGATTCCTTCAGAAAAACAAAAATTTCAGATGAAATCTCCAGTTTAGGAAATATCGTTACCTAATCTAATAACATTTAACACCCTTTGTAGGTAAACACTATGTTATCCAAATAAAACCTATGTCTGGACTAGTTTTGGCCTGAAGACCTCCAGTTTGGAACCTGAGCTAGAGTGAGTGAAGTGACATAAAAATCTAAGTCTTTACTCAAGGTGTTCTGGCGTGCCTTTCTAGGGGGGATTTAGTTTAATAAACACAACTTTTCTGCCCTGCATGATGGAGGCAAGTACTAAAAACAGTTTGCTAAGTTGATGAAGGAAACTTAGGTTTTGCTACTCAAGCTGTGGTCCATAAACCAGCAGCATCAGCAGCATCCAGGAAGTGATTAGAGATTCAGAATCTCAGGCTGAACCCCGGACTGCCTGAATCAGAGTCTGCATCTTACCCACATCATCAAGTGATGCGTGTGCACGTTACTGTGGGAAGCACCTGATTTAGTATACCTAATGTTCTCATTTTAAAATCACCCCTGTAAGGCAAATCCCACAGCCCGAGTTTGAGCAGACAGCAAAATTTCCAAGAACCTCTAATATTACTAGTGGAACATGGAACCAAAAATGTTCACTCTTACTGAAGCCTGAACAAAGCAGTTAATATGGTAACGTTGACATATTTAGTAATGTGTTCACAGTGCTAAGTTCTTTACAAGAACTTGGGGAGCCAAATACAAGGCTCCACGCAGGTAATACATTTATTCGTTAATCAGTAAATTACCTTATATAGTCAGTAAATGTTAAATTCTGGACAACTGATAAGATCATTGGCTTTCACGTGTTTTTTCAATATTGTGCTCAGCCTCAAGTAGAAATTGAATTGGGTGACCTTTTGATACTGTATGAAATTGACTGCATTTCCTAAGACTTTTGTGGTTTCAATTACCATACATTTTTTTTCATATTGGGTCCACAGCCATGGCATTGACCCTGGCATAACAGTATCTTATCATCAGTTCTGATAATGTAGTCGGCAGTGGTGCAGCGTGTTGTCACTGATATGTGACAACGTGAGGGTGTGTGTTCCCAATTAGAACTTCATGTCAAGTACGGGAACAATACGCAATTTACCCAAATCAAATCTACTCGCTCAGTGGATTGTGAGATGTGAGTGATTTTTGGTCCAGTGATGGAAATTGTGTTCTAGGGTGCTAGCTGGATCCTGAATTTGTGAGATAGATAAGTCAGTTAGTGGTTCCTCAGTTTATTGGCAACTTAATTGTCAGAATGTAATGGAAACTTCTGAGCTGCAACAACTCATTAGAAGCAAAGAAACATGTGACTTTTTTTTTCCTAGAAGAATATTCAGTGAGCTGTGTGGTTTTTTTCCCCCAAATAGATCTTGAAAATAAAATTAACAGTTAAGTTTAAATTCTTACCTATGAAGGTAGAAGAGTTGTGAATTCTGCCACTGGAAAAATGCTCTGGAAAAGTTAGGGACATTGAAGGGAGAGGGAACGGGGGTTCAAATTTCCACTTGGTCACATGTTTGCAGTGTATCAGGCAAGTTTCTTAACTTCCTCAAGCCTCAGTCTCCTTATCTGTAAAATGGTGAAATCGTGCGATTTCAAAGGATTGTTATGCAGATAAAAGGAAACAGCCGGTACAACACAACACGCCTAGAACAGAGCCAGAGCTCAAAGAAGACTATTCTCTTTTATTTGTCAACCTAGATATTTCTCTTTACTTGCTCTTTATCTTAAAACCAGTTTGATTTTAGAGCAACCTTGTTTTTTTTTTTCAAGATTAAAGTCGTAATCATTAAAAAGCATGCAGCCATTGTGTTATCTACTAGAAAGAAAGCCATATCTTGCTGTCATGCTGTACTTTACAGAAATGGACAGTTTCTACTAAAACAAGAGTTTACTTTTCAGTTCCCTGGTAGATTGTGTTTTGATTTTATTTGGCCTTTATGGCAATAATACCTTGATCACTGTCACAGAAACCCAAAGAAAAAATCTTGTTTCTCCTCTAATGTTTCATCTTAGCGGTTGCTCCCAAAGGAAATCTTGACAACGTTTAAGAATAAGGAGCAATTGAAGAGTCATGCATAGTGACTGACTTTAATTCACTGATTATTTTTCTGAAGCCCACAGCCCAGACGAAGAGTATCATACGGGAGGAGTGTTTCATTTCTAACTAAAAGTGATGTTGAAGTTATGGATTATCCCATTCTCCTTCTAATTCCCTTTTCTCTGATTTTCAATTTTCTTTTTCTCCATATGTTCATTTTTTAGTCCATTTTTCCCCCTTCGTTTATTGTTTAAATAATTATGTTAGATTCTGTACCGATGACTGCTGGGCAGCTGCGTTGCTGGAAACACCACCAGAACAGGTCTGTGTCTGTTAGAACCACTGCTGTGTGCCTGAGACACTTGCCATCCCAAAACTATTTTCTCAATACAAATGAATAAAAGGAGAAATGAATGAATAAAGCCACATAAAACATGGCCATGGAGTTCAAAAAAACTTAATTATGTATTGAGAACTTTTTTCCTTTTTTAAAAGATATTTTAAAAAATTAAAATAAAATACCTGCTGTATTTACTGAAGACGATTTTTTACCTAGTCTTATTTTTAGATAAGATGAATCAATTATTTCTGCCTTTTATCATTTTCAAACCCAATATCCTTTTCTTTTCCTGAATATCTGCTGTTTATATTTCCAATGACTCAATGGGACTTGATTTTTTAAATGATATTTTTTGTCTTAGTTCAGCTCTTCCAAGTTGAAGGCAATTCCTATAAGGTTTTATCAGTTACTAAACCCAATTTATCGCGTACATAGAAAGGCTATTTAATCAGGGGCAGATTGTGAAATGGCTTAGTGATAAATTAAGTTCTCATTATATAGGGTTTCTCAGGAGATTCTCTCAAGTTTTGCTCTTTTCTTGACAGGGTAACATTTTGAAATGATTTTTTTTAAAGGGACATCGTTAGAGAAATAGTGTGAAATCCTTGCACAGTGTTTCCTGGTGCTCTTTTTGCCACTATCTCATTTAATCCTTACCTCCAGGTGGTGAAGCAGCTGTCTCTACTTACAGTTGAGATCACTGAGGTCACTGGGCCCAAATGCCTTCTCTGAGGATATAGGCTAGTCTGTGGCATTATTAGAGCTTGCACCCCATCCCTCTGATCCCCGTACGATTTTGACTGTTCCTTTGGAAATATTCACAGTGGACATGATATCAATAGGAACAGAAGCAAAATGAGGGAACCGGGGTTAATGTTTCAGGAATATTGAACCACTGAATGTGCTTCCAGGGACAAATTGAACAGCGACTGGTGCTGTAATGGCACAGAACGATTCTGCTGTCAACTGCTAAAGCCGTATGTTTTCATTTTGTGCCCAGAGGTGAAAGGATTTACTCCAGGGCCACCCATAGCTGATAGCACCAGATTTTTCACCTCTGAACAGATTACAGCTGCCTGACATCATCTCAACAAACAGAACTGGAAAGTTTGTCTACAACCATTGATGTCGGCTGGGGCAACCAGGGCTCCAGGGAGCGGGTGCCCCCATGGTTTCTCATCCTCTTCCATGGCTTTGCTATAGGCTCTCCCATCACAATGGGCTTTTCTTTTTCTGTATGTCCCCTGTTTGTATTCGCTATGACTCTAAGGTACTTTATTTTTTTAAATGATATTTTTGTCCTAGTTCAGCCAGTTCTGCCATTGTTCTTACACAAGTTGCTACAGTCCACTTAATATTGTGATGGAAAACTAAATTTAAGTAAAGGAGTCAACTATGGAAGTATGGTGCAAATTCAGTATGTAGAGTTTGAATGATTTTTTTGGACGTGTGTGTACCTTTAGCACTACACTTGCTACGTATTGCTTCTTAACTCTTCCTTGAAACACAAAGGCATTATGTTGTTTCCACTTTCAATAATGCTCGGGGTTAGGGGATAGCCAGGGTGTATTTTTCTGCTGCCCTTTTACAGAAATGCGGAGAAAATTAAGGTCCAAGGAAGGCAGATTCTAAGCCAGAGCCACAAAGCTGAATAGAGCTGGACTGTTCTTCATTAATTATTTAATCACACTTAAGCTTTCCCTCTTGTCACTTTTATTGCATTACTACACATGCTTTGTATTTTTATATTTTTGTTTTATAAATACAAAAAAATACTCATTACGGAAAGATTAGAAAAAAAGACAAATTGAATGAAAGTCATCTGAAGTAATTTAATACTTCCTTGCAGTTTTTTGGTGTCTGGTGTTTTAGATGTTTCCCAGTGTACAGGCATAGATCACGGGCTGAACAAATGCTATTTGCTAACTTTATTGGTTTAATAGTATTTAAGGGGTATGTTCCATTTCAACAATATACATCAATATCATCATTTTCTTGGTTGAAGTGTGTCACTGTGTGGGTTCTCCTGGAGATCTCTTTACTTTAAGCCCAAGCTCTCATGGCCTGCCCGCCTGTGGTCAGAGGCCACTCCAACATGATGTTTTTAAAGAAGGGATCCAATATGATGACATCAGTTATAGCGATGGGGCTCTTGGCTGGTGGCTGTCCCTGCCATGTGCCAAAGAGTCTATTCATTGGACTTACGAGTACTGCAGAAGGGTCCAGCACTGGGGAAAGATACCAACAGGAACTAACCCAGGGGTTCAGCGGTCAAAGCTTTCAGCCCCTAGTCCGAGTGGGAAATCAAAGTGAGAACAGGAACCCAAGTACAGAAAGCTTTACAGTAAGAATTATATTTTCAACAGTTTTAGGGATTTAAGTGTTTCTACATTATTCTAGAAGGAAATCTGTTCTAAGAAAAATAGTTGTGCCCTATTTTGTAAATAAATCTGATTTTTAAAAAAGTATTTGGCTTTCCTTTAAGAAAAGTGGAATTCTTATTGCTTCATCTATTCATTTATTCCTCGCAATGGTTTATTTCATGTACAGCAATTTATTTTGTTCAGCATCTGTCCTTTTGCTAGAATAAGCTCTGTGAGGGCAGGGACATTTAACTATTTTGTTCATTTTGAATTAGTTTCTTCATATCCCCAGTGTCAAGAATGCCTGGCGTATAGTAGATACTCAACAGATACTTATTAACATTTTTTGACATGCAGTTTGATGCACACCTCATGATTCCTGTTTCCAAGAAGCTTGTGATCTATTGAAAAGCATAGACATGGAACTTAATTACAATCCAGTGTTTCTATAGCGGACTGTACTGGGAACTTTCCATGTGCAACACTGTAAACAATTGAGGGCTGAAGAATAAAACAGCAAGGGTATGAAAAAATTCTTCACTTTTACTTCCTTTGAGCAACATAGCATGGTAGAAAAAGTAAGGAAACCATAGGCCCCAGACAAATACAGATTTAGATCAGCCACTGATTGACCTTGAAGTCTGTTTAACCCTTTGAGGGGGTCAGTCTTCCCAGCTCCAATCCTGCAGTTGAATGGGTTGACTCTTTTTAGCTCCTACTGTCTGGTATTTCTGTCACTACGTTCTACCGTTATATGAGACTATCATTAAATGACTTGTCTTCTTCTTTCTTTGTTCTGTAACTCTACAATTTTTATCCATTTGGTTTGTACTTCTCCTGTCATTTCCCATGTTGTTAAAGGCACATACACTTTTAAAAATCCAGTTATCAAGTTCACTTTTGAAAACGTTCCCTTTGGTGTCATTAGCCACTTTGTCTAACAGGATGAACTAGGCTGCCCTCCTGTGCACGCTCACCACGTATGTGTATAAATCACTGACAGTCATGAATGATTCTGTTTCTAGAAAGAATTCAGTATAAAGTATTTAAAGATTTTTCAGGAGCGTGGTACTCAGTCTGGCATTAAAAGAAGCTCAGTCTCTAAATCCTAGGAGACTGCAGACTTCCTCAGACGCTTTGGAAACACAAACTCACATGGAATACTTACCTTCAAAGTCACCGAAAAGATGAACTTCTCAGGCTGTATTTATTCGGCAAGTATTTACTGACAACTCACTACTCTGCAACGGAACATTGAATGGAAAAGGAAAGATGCTTATGGAGTCTAAGGCCCAGCTCCAGGCTCGAAATGGTTCCTATTCTCTTGGGGGTGGGCACGGGGGATTGTCAGAAGCACTCTTGGATTTCCTTCACCCTAGATGGCCCCACAGAGAGGACAGCCTTGCCTCTGATTAGCCTCTAACCACCCTGAGACAATTTTCTCTCATTTTAGTGCTATTACCAGAATATTGCAGTAATCAGATCATTTGACATAGCCCACAACTTGATGTCCCCAACCTTAATATACCATAAAGACCCAGGTGCCAGGCTTCTGCAGCTGCACCGTTTGCACACACAGCTCGTGGTGCTAAGTCCTGAGGAACAAAGAGCATTGGCTGCTGTCGTGGTGCCTTCTAAGCACTTCTTTTGGGCAGAGAGCGTGCTGTCTTCCAGAGGATGTATTAGCTTTAATGGAAGGTGATTCTAGGTGTTTTACAGAGTCAGTCTAAAGAACATGGCTTATACCCAGGGCTAATGTAATCTGCTAATTCGCCACAATGAAACTTAGAGTGGCCTCCTTTCTGAATTCCTGGTGCTGTAATTCTAATTGATCAATGCTCATGTGTAATGTTTATTAAATATTTTCAATGTTACCTCCCTCCCTCTTCTACCAATATGCAAACTGTGAAAGAAAATTAATGTCTTACTCATGGCAAGTGCTCTCACATCAGGACCTTTGTACTTACTCTGTTCTTTGCCTAGAACATTTCTTTCTCAGCTATTATGTCTTGCTGTTTCAAATGCTCTCTCAACTTCTCTCTCATATACATACATATTTACATGTGTATGCAAGTAAAATATACATACTATCAAATATATATGTATTTACACTATCAAAAATATGTATTTACTCCATTCTTTATCTGTCTGTTCCAAACATATTGTCTCTCTCTGTGTATATGTCTATTTTATAAAATATACAAATAAACCAAATGTATTCTCTCTCTATATATATATACATATATTATCTCTCTGTGTGTATATATGAATATAATACTCTATTTTCTTTATATAGAATTTGTATCATATGTTCCTTATATGTTTATATATATATACACACACACACATATATACACATAGATGTATGTATATACTCTCTCTATATACACATATATATCTTTGGAAGGGCTACATTTGTTTATTATCTGCCATCCTCTCTCCACCAAGCTAAAATGTAGGTTTTTAGAAAAAAACAGAGTATAGCACGTGGTAGTCACTCAATACATACGTGTAAGTAATAAAGTACATATATTTATAACCAAGCACATAAATGTGGTGTAGGTCTGCACGTGTGCATGGGTGGAGGTTGTGTACAGTATAGATCAGCTTAGCTTGCTCTGGAATTCAAGTGATTACTTCATGTAATAAATGCACAAGCATCCAGCGATTATGTCAAACCATGCCTTTTAATTCAGACATATTCAGTCTTAACAAGTGACAGGTAGACCATGGTTGTTATGTAAATTGTAAGGATTTCTGAGCATTCATGTATTTAATAGTTTTGATGCCACATTTAAAATCTCTATACTGTGTTGGTTTATTGTGTAGAATGTTCTTCTCTTTCCTCTTCATTTGCTTATGTCCTATCCCTACGTCAAAGTCTACTTTAAATGTTGCCTCTATATTATTTTTTCAACAAATTTAGATTTTGTCTCACTTATTGTGAACTCAATGAGGGCAATAATAATGGTAACATTAATAACAGCAAACCTAGGTCCTTACTGTGTACAAGGCAGTGTTCTATGTGATATGCAGGGATTAGCATCGCAAAGTCTCAAAATAGCCCTACAAGGTAAGTCTTATTATTATAACACACTACACACGAACTCTGAGACCCAGAGAGGTTAAGTCACTTACTGAACATCATACACCTTGTAAGAATGAATTCAGGATCCAAACTCAGGCAGCTAACTTCAGAATCTGTATTTTGCCTCACTGCCTCTTTCCTAAGAACATGAAAATCTTATGAGGCTTTTATGCGCTTTTGATCTTTCAAAAAATCTTAAGAAGTCTAGAAATGTTTAAGAACTCTATGAAAGTATATAGAACAAAATCCTCAAGAATCCTTTGGCATATAGCCTATGTAATCAAATACACTACAAAATGAAAATGAACTTGATGATGATGATGATGGTCAGAAAATGCTGAAGAAAGAGGAGAATGATTGGCAATTAAAAGAGTAAAATGCCATAGGACTAAT